ATATTAACTGGGTTCTAGTCCTTATTTATTGACTACGCGAAGATATTAATAATGCTACGTGATAAATAATAGGAAATAATAGTCCCCTCTTGCTGCATAACATAACGTAATGCACATAATAGCATAGTAACGTAATTACGTCATGTTAGCATTATAGCGTTGCAGATTCTTTGAAAGATATATCTCGTGATAGCCATAATTTGCGTGTGGAAAAACGATTGTTATGATAAAAGGTAATTAGATAAAGATTTTCATTTCGCATGGTCTGCGTCATAAGTATCAAGTCCGCATTACATTTTTCTAAAGATGACTGCGCGAGAACGAAAATTAACGCATAAATTTAAATTAGCGTGTATTATACAATATGTAAGATCCGTGAGCGCAAGAAAATTTGAACGTGAAGCACACGACATTTATATCTCTAGAACTTTTTCTCCAATCGAAACCGCCAAATAGATAAATTACTTTCTCTCTCGCACGTCTTGGCAAATCCACTTTAAAATGTGTGCACCCTTCCCGTTGTCACTACCGGAGTCGTAATTGACAGGGAATTGGTTGCTCTCCGGCTGATCGAATTTATGGCAATAAGAAACAATAAGTAAAAACAGGTAACGTATTGCGAGCGTTAACTTTAGCAACGTATGTCTACACTATCGGCGGATAAAAATTTTTATAAATAAATAATAAAATACTCAATACCCATAGTTTCTCTGCTGAGTCTCCTGGGATGCAATCTGTTCTTCTCTCTAGGATTCCTCCGACGTATTTGCACACTCACTTGCAAAAGCACAATTAATTATAATAAATTATGTGATAATTTATTATGATACGCGAATTTTTGTTATATAGTAATTGATTAAAAAAATGATTGATTAAAAAGAACGGCGTTAAAGTATGCAGCATAATTGAAACATCACATTTTCGTTACGTATATTCAGTTCAGTTTGTACGGATGAATAGATAAAACAAAGTACATATCTGCTTGGTAAATATTCATCACGAAGCATTCAACACGTGCAAGTCATTAATTATAAGAACTAGTTAATTGCATAGGATAGTAATTGTGTATTGTTCACGAAGAGAGGTTGCGTTTCGCGAGATAGTTACCTTACGACGCACGAAACAGTTCTGCGCTGTTCGCCAGCTTAGCTTTGTTGACGCGTGGCGATCTTGTATATACACAATAGCTCGGCAACGCCGAAAGAAATAATGCTGAAGTCACGAACCAGTTCCCAAAATACTAATTGTTTACAATATATAGATTTTCATGGAAATTTTGTATCGTTTATGTAATTTAATTTCTCGTAAATTGAGTTACACATTGGATCTATATTATAGGATTTTTGCCCATTAATGAGGAAAAAGTTGATTTCGCTCTAAAATATTTGTTCTTAAAGAAAATTTTATCAAGATCATGGATTGATATAACCATTATGTAGAAAAATTGCAGCGAGATAATTTTAGTTTTGTTTAAAAATTAAAATTGTTCTTATTCTTTCCAGTAAGTAAAAGATTCACTTATCTTAGATAATTTACGAGATATTATGAAATTATCGAATAAAATGTAAAACTAAAATATTCGAAAATCGATTTCCATTGCTTAGGATAGAAATCACAGTATCTTGAAATTAGTTTATTATTATTATATGTCAAATTAATTTTTTATTATTTTGAAAAAATTATTTTAATAAATTATTAATTTTAATAAATTATTAAAATAATGAAATTTTCAGGTAATTATTCTCACGTGGATACTAATTACTGTAATAAGACATTTGCGCTCAACATTTCTAATATTTATAACTCATGATTAATCATATATCATGTTTTCAAATTTGCAAAAAATATATAAAACATTTTTAATGAAAATGTCAACATGTTATATATGGTTTATTGAGTCACTCAGTCTAAATATTTATCTGTTATTCCATGTTTTCTGCCAAGACAGAATAGTGCATGTTAATGGAATAAATTACATTCGAAGCAGCAAAAAGTTTAAAGTGTAATATAAAATATATTTATATATAAATATTTTTAATGCGTATACAACGCGCATTCGCATTTGTAGAATTTCCAGTAATTCAATTCCTACTGCGAATTGAATTATTTACAACCGATTCTCTATCCCTTAATAACCGTTCACTCAAAGGTACAACAAATAAAAATGAATGCGTAACGGGATGAAGGCGGATTTAAAGATGAAGGGCGAAAGGCAAACTTAATTGGCGGAGGGAACATAATTTGCGCGTGGCTCGATCGAGCGAATTGCAGAGGGATTAACGTGCGCTCGCGGAGATTGGACTTGTCGAAGCAGACGGAGTTATTCCCGTGAAGATTCATGAATGTTTATTTCAAGTCGCGCCGTAAGTCCGTACCCGCGCGAGCTGGATCTATTCGTTTGTCTTCCACCCGCCGGTGTAAATCATTAGATTTACTGCCGTCGACGTTACGTACGTACCTCCACTTTAGAGTCGCGCTCGCTCGCTATTACATCTGACCTGACACGGATCTGTACTATTGAGATGTGGCGTAATAAGCTTAGATAGAAACTCAGCGTGATGGAAATTGACGAATTACTATCGATCGATCTTCACATACACCTTATTCAAATACTAGAATCTCAAAACTACCTGCGTGTGATATCAAAAGCGTATTTTACCCTGTTGCGACATTCGCGAATACGTTGACAAGCACGCGACAAGACCACTCGTTCCGTAAGTCAAGTTTTGAAGCGACTGCGTTACTAAAAAAAAAAAAAAAAAAAAATAACATGCGATGTGAATATTGCGAACGTGCACGTAGTCTTGTTTGGTATCACCAGAATGCCGCAGATTGTTCGCGTCCAATAAGAGTTGCGATCACATCTACGTACATATGTGCGTTGGTGGCTACCCTGCACGCCGCGGCTGCTACTAATTCGTATTTAAAGCTTTATCGGACGCGCCTCGTGCCCCGCACAACAATTTCACGGTTCACAGAAACCATCCTGCACCCAGGATCACCGCCACTAACATCACCATTTTCGCGTGGTTGGCATATATCTATAGTCGGGCGCATAGTCGTGCGCTCTCGAGCTCCTCGAGTGCACGGAGTGTACGAATACTAGCGATAGCAGTCAGATAAGTATTTCACTCAAGTACCTTCTATATAATGAATGAACAAGAATCCTCCTCTAGTACTGGATGAACGTACTGGTTATCCCTAAATGATTATATATTTCTCTCTCTCTCTCTCAAAGTAATCTATAATACATTTTTTTAAGTTGTGCCGTAAATTTTCATTTATTTATTTGTTGAATATTATTTATAATCGCAAATTGTAATTGCCATTTAATATAAAATTGATTTTTGTGCATGATTAATTAAGTTTAATCTGTTTAGTCTTATTAAGGAAATTTTTGTTATAATTCGAGAAAGTAAAATAATTTAATAATAAAATAACGCGAAAAGAAACGAAACGTTCACATAGTTATGTCAATGTAATTTTTTAATAAATAAATTTTTTCTATTTCGTTTAAGTTGCTTCTTTTCACTTCATTCTTGAATTTATTGTTCCTTCCAAGAAGATCAATGCGATGTTTTATCATATCAGAAATGGTTTTTCTGTCTCTGTTAATTCACACCAGCTCAACGATCCGCAGCACCCCTTAGATTGCTTTAATTCTGAAACCCTTTCCAGTCATGGAATACCTCTCTCTACTTGGCTATGCACTTTATCCATCTCCCCATCGCCGCTGGATGCAATTTTAATCCCGAATTCCAAGAAAATTACCTTGCCGTCAGAGCTGTTTAAGGGGGTACTAGATGAGATTGCCTCTGTTACCTGTCAGCCCGCTTGACATATAGTATATTATGCAGCGGGCTGTTCGAACTAGTCTTGAGATTATTCTCTAATTTAAATTTCTATTTTCCTTTCGCACCGCCACTGCTGCACTCGCTGTCAAGCCGGAACGACCGCGTTTTAATAGCAAGGAGGAGATAGATGAATTTTCAGAACTGTAGCTTTGAAAATTTCAACGCCCATATTTTCACAAACAAACAGGCGTGATCGGACGGGCCGTTTGTATTTTTGAACTAAAGCCGATGTTAAATTTTTAATTGTAATTTTGCTACAAAACTTTCCGCTTTTGTCGAATGAAACAAAGCCCTTGCGGCAGTTGTTAGTTACATGAGTTATAATTGGTGGAAACTGTAGAACGTATTGAATACGAGTGCACATGCATATATCATTCAATCATTTTGTGGGTGCTTTATGTTACGGAAAAAACAAACCTACCTGTAACACGTTGAGAATCATGCCCGTAGGAACATGATAGCGCATCCAGATGAATATAGAAAGAATAGTAAGACAAATGGACCAAATTATATTCCAACACTGGACGAAATATACATCCCTTATTAACGCAAAGAAGCTAGATAAGATTTTAATAATTCTGTGGGACAACAATAATAAGATGTTCGTGTAACTAAATAAAGTGGCGTAATAACAATAATGAACTGCGACAATTAATAATAATAGTAACAATAACGACTTTATTGCCACATACATAAATAAATGGACATGGCCGATGTACAGCGTACAAGCTGGATCATGATTTGATCCGGTTGCGTCAAACTACCGTTACAGTCTCTCGCATACTCTTTTACACACACACACACACACACACACACACACACACACACACTGTTCTTTCTTTCTTCTATTCTCTCTCTA